ATGATTATATTAATTAAAATCTAAACAGAGAACGAAAATTTGTGCATGATATAATATTCAAGGTAAAAAATACTGTCAGTTATATAGGTATACCAGTGCAATTTCATAGATATAGCCTGTGGGATAACAGGATCATCTCAGTAATATTTTTTATTTAATATTTAAATTTTATTATAATATTTGTATTTATAGTATGTATAGTACAGTTTATACTGCAGAACTTCTTCTTTATCGTATAGTCGGTATAGATAATAGATTTATAGAAACAATTGTGACAAAAGTATCTTGGCAAATACAAAATATTGAGAAACTATCACGTATAAGTATAAACTCAAGCGATAATTATTGCGCCTTTGGTTTTGAACAATTATTCGCCAAAGGCGAGGCCGTGATTATCGGGGAATTTGTCAAATTTGACCAATCAACTTGACAACTTGTAGGATTTGTCATATATTTATATATTTATTCACTTGCGCAAAAATACTATAATGACGGTATTGTTCATCTTTGCATAATAGTTTACACCGGTTTAGCGCCTGCCTAAATAGGCTGTGTTGCAATGTATTTTGTCTGTGTCAGTTTTAGCTTTTCGTAAATGTATGCAGCCATAGTGAACACGAACTCTCATAGTCATCATACTTTATAAAATACGAATGTATGCATACATTATTAATTGGTACGTAGTCAGTATTACTTTGTGATAATCTGTCTATATTATTGTCTATATATATATATATATATATATATATATATATATATATATATATATATATATATATATATATATATATATATATTTTGGGTGTCCCAAAAAAAAGTACTTTGATTCGTAATAACTTCTAAACAAGTAAAGCTTTTAAAGAGAAATAACTTGCATCAAATAGAGGAAGGACTTACTTAGATCTTGATATATTAGAGTTGTATTTCACTTAAAAATTCACGGAGATATTAATGTTTAAAATCGGGAGCATATTTCTAGATGTGTCTGAAATATGCAAAAAACGGCGTATCAAATATTAATCAACATTTGCTCGACTGAAACATGCACTATTACCATGCAGTACACAAATGACATTTGACAAATTGTTTATTATGAAACAAAGTATTATTATCTACAAAATACAAGCAAGATTTATTTGTCCGAAATCCGTGTGCATGTGTTCCTAGCACGAATACTTTTCCTAATTTCATGAGACCACTGCATCGCGAAGGATCGTCATGAATATCCGCGTTCGTATAGTTCTGAATTAGGGCATGCTGTCACAATATAAAATTGTGAAGCTCTTCTAACTTCTTCAAAGTTCTGAAATCTTGTTAAGAAAACTCAAACTCTTTTGCCTTTTCTTAATCTTGTTTATCTTGTTAAGTTCAGAATAAACTGAGAATGAAACACAATCAAACCATACAAACTCCAACAGGTGGGAAATTTGTCTGAGCATGCGCGAGTAAAATGAACCACGCAATTGCGTGGAATACACGCAACGCGTGTTTACAAAAAGCCACAATCGTGTAAATATTGCCAAATGTTTGTACAAAATAAATGACTGTTTTATGGTAAAAGAGTAGACATGATCTAAATTAATCATGCAGAATTTTTTAGTGACGTTCTATTTCAGTACCCTGCCATTGTCTCTGGTGGGCTGCCCGTGTGCATTCGATCTGAAACAGTTGCTACTTTGCTGTCGAAGAATTTCGAATGTTTACATGAAAATAGAGGCAAGTCATGCATTTTACAACTTCTTAAACTGTATGAGCCCCTATTTTTACGCTTATACCTAAGATATCAAATAAAAGTACATGAAACAGAGAACATTTGTAGAAAGTTTTATCGTGAGGCCACGGCCAGTTTTTAAAATATCTTTATTTCTGTTCCGGTCATCACCAAAATTACACAAAAGCCGGGCTTGAATATACAACAAATTTTGAATCTTATCAAGCACAAAAATACTTAACGTGTAACCAAAATATGCTCATGAAATCGAAATTAATAGCTAAATTTTCAAACTAGACCCTTCTCGAAGCGGTTTTCATGAAGGAAGTTCACATTTCGGCCTTTGATTCTTGGCAAAAATTTGACCACAACACGTGCGAAGCAACTGGGTCTCAAAGACTGAACTAAAACATTGTGAGCCCCTATTTTCCTGACGATATGTTTGATACCTACAAACGCCGAAATTTTTTTTCTTTTCATTTAGCTATATTTGAAATTGAGGCCACGGGCTATTTTTGAGAAAATACAGTTCAAAGTCAAGCTATTTTTACATATTTTCAAAATTCCTCAAATTTCGCGAGCTTGTATTTTGAACTTAGACAGCTGAAGTTACATTAAGAAACATAGGATGGAAAATTTGAGGCATATAAAGTTAATTTCAACTTACATTTCATTCTCAAATCACGTCTTTCTTCGTTTATTACGGTTTTAAACAAGCCATAGATCGACGTATACGGTATTTACTCCCATGTTCACGTCGCCATATTAACTTCTTCCAATCACACGATTACAAAACAATCATCCCAAAACAAAGAATTCATGATCGACTTTTAAAAGAATAACCAATAATTTGTAAATTGTTGAATGGAAAGCAAAAAATCGTCAGCTAAAACAGCTTCTTGCTAACTTTCTGCTTTGTTTTGAATGTAAATGCAATGAGCTTTGTTTCTGCCCGCAATTTTTTGGTCAGCGACGACAAATTTCCCACCTGTTGTGGGTGTAATAAATTATAATAATAATGAATTAGAAAATCCAAGATGGCCGCCAACCTAAGAGTGCCCACAAAATTTAAGTGCTTAGAGCGGCTTAAAAATGCGTTTAGTCTTTGAAATTTTTCCTTCTTTTTGCTACCGACGTACTCGAAATCAGATTCTTCAGCTTTTATTACATGGGAACTACGTAGTTGCTGTTCTTCCAACTGGGTTTGGTAAATATCGTTCGCTAAACAAAATTAACAGATGTTCTCCAGCTGGGCAGGCTTGCCTATAAAGAGGACACGGAAAGTGTTTTGAACTGGGGATGTTAAACTTGGTTTTACCCTTCCAAAGACTCTGCTGTGCGACGATTGGAGCGAGTTTATGAGGAATATTTTATACAGTGATTCAAAGAAATGTTTTTGCATATACTGTATATGTTATTGATCTATTGTTGAATATCACTTAATATATTATAAAGTGCCAATGGTTGGAATATTTATTCATTGATATTTTAAACACAGATGAATGTTATATGCTCTTTCCTTGTTTACGTTTTCCTTGCAGCCAAATGTTGAAGCTGGCAAGCTGCAAAACTGACATATCCCTTATGAAAAAAGTCTATAGGTGGCCTATAGGAAATGTTCCAATTCCCTATAGAAGCCAATTCCCTATAGAGCTCTATAGAATTATAGGCATCCCTATAGGTCACCTATAGAAAATGTTCCAATTGCCTATAAAAACCTATAGGTTTCCTATAGGAACCTATAGGTTGGCCTATAGGCCAAGCCTATAGACTTTTTTTGTAAGGGATGAGTGATATGACCCAAATATTGGATATATGCATCTTAGTTTGCTTCCAGTAAAATGTAAACAAGACCTTAAGAATTCTATACGAGATAAGAAATATTCCGTTTAAAATCATGACTGGCAAATTAGCATGTGTGAATTGATGCTTCCTAATAATAGTATGTACTCCAGTCTCCAGTAAAGCTTGCTTCACCATGCTTCAATTCTTGCTGTTACCATCTGCACATTATCAGGGTGGAGAGTTGATTCGAATTTTTTGTCCCAGGGGATAAAGGTAGGGAATAGATTTTCCATCACAAAAGGGGCAAGGTGCCCAACCAGTTAGAAGATGGCATGTACTTTAAGTGACCATTCATTATACCCTAGGGTGGGGTGGGAGATTCTTATGTCAAAATGTCATGGGACCTCTTTTTAATCTCTTAATTTAATAATGGAGACCCCTCCTAAATATTTAAGACTATATAACATGATGAAATTCTAATCTTCATTCATGTGAATGCCTGACTATGAAGAAAATACATTTTGCAACACAGGGATGGATCCAGCATGATCTGGTAGGGGGGGGGGGTGCTCTGCCAGCTCTGGTGCCGACTTGTGTTGGTCATATGTGCCACCTGCCCATCAACTTGCTTCACTATTGTAATTGTTGTTCACAGCTCGCTTATCATCATGTTATTACTCAAATTACTGTATCTCATTTTGCCTGTAATAATTTTTTGCTTTATCATGAAAAATATAACCCCCCTGCACCCACTCTGGCCAGGGCTAGGGGAGTGCACAGCCCCCCCCCCGCAGTAAATCCATCCCTGTTGCAACATACACTACAAGAGCTAGAATGATTGCTTCCTTTGGATGATTTGTCTTAGAATTATATTACCTACTGTATATTACAACAATTCTTCCTATTCTGAAACCAGTTGCTATTCTGTTTTTTACAACACTCACCCCCCCCCAAAAAAAAGAAAAACTCAACAAATCAAGGACCCCCTCCAAGGCAATTTTGCCAGCAAAATAGATTAAATTTGATGGTAATTGTTCTGAGAATATATTAACTCATTGAGTGGCAGCATTCTGCCTAGACTTGCCACAAGTCGACCTCAAACGAAACGCAAGCAGCGAGTGTGAGCCA